CCCCAAAACCCCAAAACCCCAAAACCCCAAAACCCCTTACTTTGAATATATAACTGAGAAGAGTTTGGAACGATTTACAATAAATTACATAGGAAGCACAGGAGGAGTATACTCTTCTTCAGGCTCCTCTTTGTTGTCAGAAGGAGTCTCTGAAGAAACAGGAGGGGTATTTTGCATTCCAATCTCAAACATATCTAAAGACATAGCTGCTGGTTGAGCTTGTGTTGTTGGTTCATTTACTTGAGCTTCTTCTTTAACTTTTTCTACTTCTTTAGATTTCTCTTCTTCTTTAGATTTTTCATCTTCTTTAGATTTCTCTCCTTCTTTTTCATCTTCTTCAAACTCTTTCTGCTCAATAGAATTCGGAGTTGAATTTGTTTGAGCAGTTTCTTCAGCTTCAGAAATATTCTTCACAATACTCATCTCTACTTGATCATCATTACTATCTTGGGATTTTTCAGGGCGAGAATCTCCTTTACTCTTTTGAGATCTTTCTTCATCATCCTTATTTTCCAGATCACCTACATTTTCAATTTTGCTTTCCTCTTGCTCTTCATTCACTTGCTCTTTATCCACTTGGTCAGGCTCTTCTTGATTTTCTTCCTCAGGAGTACCTTGCTTATCAGAAGTTTCTTCAACATCATCCTGGTAATTTTTGAGGAATTCCTCAAGAGCCTGTAACTTCTTAGCTCATTTGCTCTGCTCCTCTTCAAGTCTTTCAGCTTCATCAAAGTCATCTTCTTCGGCTGCTGTGTTCATCTTTTCTTCAAGGTCGTTTACAAGAGTGGCTAAATTGTCCTTCTCAGCATTGAGTTCTTCTTTAGACATTGAGGTGAAGTCAAATTCTGGTTTGTCTTCAGGCTCTTCTTCAGACTCACTCTGAACTTTCTCTTCTTCATCCTTCTCTGAAGTTCTAAAGGTTAGCAGACCTATGATACTTTTCAGGAGTTTTCTCACTAGCTATAGATGAGTCCAAGTCTGATTTCTCTTTTTCAGATTCAGACCTATAAAATAGTTTCAGGCTTTAGCATTAAATGGAAAGAAAGATAGATCAGATTGTGTGAAAGATAAGTTCAGAAGATTGACTATCTAGCATGGGCGCTTACTTTTCCTCTTCCTCATTATCACTGTCCTCAGTAGAAGTGAATCCATATCTTTCCTGCATATCCTTGATCTCTTTATCAAGGATTTTGAAAATATCTTCATAACCTTTGACTCCTTCTGCTTCTTCTAATGTGTGTTGAAGTTCCTTTTTCTTGACAAGCAGAATTCTGTATCAGAGTTAGAACTATCAGAAAATTTTTAAGCAAAGGGATATTCAAGCCCTATGAGTTAGAAAAGATAGAGACTTTGCTTCTTGAAGGTATGAATGTTTCTCACCTAAACTCATATTCTCTAAGTTCTTCTTCTTCGTTTAATTTCTTTGCTGCTAACTTCTTCAGGGTTTTCTTCGCTTTGACCATCTTCTCTTCAGCCTTTTCTTTTGTGATTGTAGCTTCTTCCATCCACTTCTTGGTCATCTCCTGGTCTTTTATCTTCAATTCAAGAGTTTCCTTGACTCTTTTAGCTTCCTTGAATTTCTTTTTCTGAGCAAGAGTTTTCTTATCACTGTTCAATTGATCAATAGCAGCTTCTAGATCTGATAGCTTCGAGATGGAGTTATCCAGTCCTTCTTCAAGGACCTGGACTTCCTCTTCAAGCTCTTTGAGGTCAATCTTTTCAAGCCTGGTGACTATGTCTCTGAACTCTTCTTGCTTATCTTCATAGTAGTTGATTATCTTCTTCTTTTTAGATTTAAATTTCTCTCTTTTACTGACTCTTTTCTTAGTATTTTCAATATGCTCATTAATTTTATCAATCTTTTCTTGGTATTCTTCAAGTTTGATCTGAACTTGCTTCTCTTTTTCTTCAAGTTCTTTCTTCTGGTCATCAAGCTTAGCTTGCTTATTGTTGTTCTTGGTGATCTTGTTGTTATATTTCTCAAGTGTTTCCTCTAAATAGTCAATATCTGCTTCATATTCTTCATTAGCTTTCCGGATCTCCTTTAAAGTGGATGCTCGCTTGGTTTCTAAAGCTGCCTTAGCATCTCTCTTTTCCTTAAGTTTCCTCTCAAGTTCTTCTATTTCTTGATCAATTTGTTGAATTTCTTGCTCTATTCCATCTCTTTCTTCAATATGTTCTCTCGCATTTTCTTTACATTTTTCATTGAATTCTTCAAGTTTTCTCTGTGTCTCTTCAAGTTTCTTGTCAAGATCTTTTCCGGTCTCTTGAATGCGGATTTCTTTTGATCTGATTCCTTTCTTAATATCACTGATATTCTGCTCTTCAGTCTTTTCAAATATGTTGACCTCCATTCTGTGCTTTGACTCAAGCTCGATAAGTTTCTCAATATTTCTGGAGTGTTCAAGCTCTATATATTATTAGATGTAGATTCAGAATAAATAGTGTCGATTTTACCTTCTTCCTCTTTAATTTTAGCAAGCTTTTTCTCTAACTCAAATCTTTGTTTATCAAGATCAAGCATCAATCTTGTAATTGACTGAATCTTCTGCATATCTTTATCAATTTGCTTTTGGATTTCTTCTGCAGTGTCGAAATCTTCTGCTCTTGAGGCCTCATCAAGTTTCTCCTCGTTATCTTTAATTCTTTGTTGAAGCTTCTTCTCTTCATCTCTTTTCTCTTTGAGCGATCTCCACTTTTGCATTTGTTTCTCTAGAGCATCAATTGTTTGCTCATGATAATTTTTAAATTTCTTGTTGACAGAGAGACTCTTTACAAAATTGACCATTGTCTCAGGAGGCTGCTCAAGAGTGAAGTCATCCTCTTCTTCCTCACTTGAATAAATGTGGCGCTCAATCTCAGCTTCCTTCTCTGATGTATCGTGTTTATTTTTCTTTTGTTCCTCTCTGCTCCGATCTGATTCAGATTTAGCAGGAGTTTGTACCTCTATATCTCTGTTAGACATCCAGAAAAATGGAGAAATATTTGTATGCTTACTCTCTTCCTTTACTACAAAATCAGGAATACTCTTGGGAGACTCCTTGCCTTTCTTTGGAGTCTCTTGAGTTGGTGTTTTCTTTTTGTAAGAGTTCCAAAATCCTTCCTTTTTGGGAGTTACCTTTTCAACAGGAGGTTTTTCTACAAGTTTGGTCTTCTCTTCCTTCACTGGTGGAGCAGGACTTGAAACATTCAGATTTTCAAAAAGATTGGGAGGGTTGTAGGTATCTGATGGTTCATTTTGAGAAATTCTAGATATGTTCGCGAATTCTTTAGAAGAATCATCAGCTGTATTCGAGTGATCTTCCTTAACATCTTTCTCTACAGTTTGTTCAATAGTCGTTTGAGGTAAATCTGTGGATGTGTTTATAGCTTCTACTGAAGAATTGTTATTTTCAAAGCTCTTGTTTGGCTGCATCCCGAAGAAGATCGAATTTGGATCACTTGAGAATACTCCCATGGGTTGCCCTCCTGGTTGGGCTCCTGGCTGGGCTCCTGGCTGAGTTCCACTCAGAGAAATTGGTTGCGGAGTAGGAGGAATTACTTGGTTTGGCCCAAAATTTAGAGTTGCATTCTGAGCTTGAGGTTGAGACACTCCTTGCGGTTGAGAGCCAAACACTGATGACCCACTCCCTTGCTTAATTGTAATTCCTGTACTTGTATCCGACGCTGGAGAAGGTCCAGAATTCATTGAAGAAGACATATTCAATCCAGCAAATAAGTTTGGAGGATTATAAGCATTTGGATCTTGCTTCGGTTGGCTCGTATTTGTGCTCATATTCATCCCACCAAACATCTCATTATTTCCTTGGGTCTGAGCTGGTGGTTTAGACTCAATCACTGGAGCTGGCTCTTGATTTTGAACTGTCACAGGTATCTCAGGTTTCTTTTGATCCTCCGCTGGAGGAACTTGGATTGTTCCTTTCGGTTTTGTGGTTTTCTTATTTCCACCGAATAAGCCTAAATATGCAATCAATAAGCTTCCAAAGGAGATTCTTTCTTCCCTAAAGCCCCTACCAGCCCATCTATCCTCACCCAATTAATGTCTTACCCCAAAGACTCATATTTGTTCTATAGTATTAAAATTATAATTCTACTGCTAAATTTCTAAACGGGGTTTTGGGGTTTTGGGGTTTTGGGGTTTTGGGGTTTTGGGGTTTTGGGG